ACTGGCAGGGAAGGGGCTCTCAGTGGGTTACTGCCAAGGGAAGGCAGCAGTGGGCTGGGGAGCAGCAGGGAGCAGAGCGGGGATCCCAGCAGCTCTGGCAAGGGCCTGGCACCCTGTGGCAAGGCCACACACAGAGCTCTGCTCAGGCTGGGGCTGAGTCTCAGGGGTGCACATGAGAAACCCAAAGGAGAGCCCTGCTCTTTCCCGAGGCCAGGAGACTCGCAGGGGAAGGAGCACCAAGGACAGGCTGTGTGGAAGAGCCATCCCGCCACCTCCAGCGGGTGCAGGGGACTCTGCCCACAGCAGCTACTTACAGCAGCAGGTACAGTCAGCAGCGGGGCAGTGGGAGACAGGCAAGTGGGAAAGGAGAGTCCAGGGAGAGAGAGGAAACACAGTTACTGCTCTGCGAGAGCTGCTGTCCCTCTACATGCAGAAGCAAGCAGGGACAGTGCAAGCCAGCCCTGCTGAGAGACACCTTTGTGCCTCCTCCCCACCTCTCGACACCCCCTAGAGCTGTTTCACTACTAAGAACCCATCCAGGATGGGCTGTGATTTTACTCCGAGACTCCACGTGAAACTGCAAATTACCTTCTTCACCTCCTTCCCGAGGGTGCTCTGGTTCCTGGCATCAGCAAGCAACGGACACCCTTGCTCCCTCTGTCAGCCCTTCACAGCCTCACTCCCCCTTCCACACCCCTCTGGGACACTATCCCTGTCCCCAGCACCACTGACAGCCTTCACCCCCAACCCTGGTATCAGCAACGCAGTCCAAAGCCACCTTTTTTCTTCAACCGAACCCTGCATTCTGCTGCCTGAAGGAGAAGCAGGAGCATCAGCCCACAAAAGCACCCCAATCTCTCACTTGAAACCTGCTCCCATCTCTTGCCCCTAAAGGTGACTCCACCAGACCAAGCCCCCCACTGGCTCCCGTCCCTGACGGAGCAGAGCCTGGCGCGCAGCCGACCGATCGTACCGTGTCGCTTATAGATGGGAGGTTTCCTGTAGATGTTACTCTCGCCGGCAGCTGGTGGAAGAAAGAAAGAAAGGGAAGAAAGAAGGAAGGAAGGGGAGGTCAGTGCGGGTGTGCTGAGAACGGGCAGGACAGAGGTCCTGCAGGAGATGATCCCCCACCCCACGTTTCCATTACACCACCGCCTCTGGCTCCGTGCGTCCCACCAGGCCAGGCGGACACGGAGCTGGGCAGCAGGACGGTCCCAGGGCTGCCCTCGGGCGGGGGGTGCGCGCAGAGGACATGCAGTGAGCGGCCCAGGCTCAGCATGCA